CAGATCTCATGGTGTGCTCAGTCAGGGAGCTGAAATGGTAGGAAAATAATCCAACAAAAAGTGAATATTTGCTTTACCTTGCTGAAAGCACTGGAGAAGCTGGGGACAATTAAGCCTGTTGTGAATAGTTCAGGGCTGGAGAGGATGTGAGTGGTACTTCTGGGTGTTAAAGGCATAGCAAATCCATAGCTATTATTCTGTACTGTGAGTGCCAAACTTATCTTACATATTTTTATGTATACACTGCATTGAAGAGGGTATTCTTAAACATGTAGCTGTTGAGAACTGGACTTAAGTACCCTGAGACTTCATGAAACAGGTGAAAGGATGTGGAGATTTTTAACTGTAGATTTGAACCCAGCCCTGGCCAGACATATTCCGCTCTTCTGTATAGTCTGGTGGCCTGATCATAAACCTCATCCACATGTAGTAGCTGTCTTGTTGGAAATCTGAGCAGACAAGTCAAAGTCCAAATATATCCAGCTTGAACCGATGTATCGGGCGCCTTTGCTGGCCGCAGTGATGGGGAGAAGCCTCACGCAAAGTGCTTCGTGCTCCGCTGGCCAGGGCTGGAGGGCTGTAACGCAACTGCTGCTCGTCTCGGGGTCAAGCACACGGCTGATCAGCATCCTGGGGGCCTTTGGGGTAGGAGAAGGTCCGACCTTGTTTATTGTCCTTCATCCCGGTGTCTGTCTGGGTTGGGTGCTGCGGAGGCTTTGAGAGGATGTTAAGACTCAGTTTTCACGTTTCTAGTAACTGGTTGGTCTGGACTTGTGGAAACGTTTGGCAGGTCACTTGATATGACTGTGGTGCGTTGACTACCCGGCCCTTTATAAAATGTGATAATTTTCAGTGTATAAATAGGAGCTGAAAGGCTTGAGAGTGGCTCTAGGAATGTGGGGATTCTTAACATTGAGGCTTAGGGTCTTCCCATGAACGTATTTATACCTTTAGGTGGTTCTTGAGCAGCTCCTAATAAACGGGACTTCCTTTGCTCTGCAGTAGCCTATCATAAGGAGGGGGAAATCTGGAGTTTATGTGGCTGTTGATTTTCCCTCTGAAAAGGAGTTCGTTCCCCTGAGCAGACCGGGGGTCCAGGACAGCCACAACAAGCCTGATGTGCAGAACTGAAGCCTGGTGACTTGCGGGGGAGTCAGGAGCTGGGGGAGGCAATGAAAGGGGAAAGAGAGAGTCCTGTAAGCCCCACTCGCTGCCAAAGCCAGGTTGTCATCCAGACCGTGACTTTTCACTGGGCTTCAGTTTTCTCAGTGCTCAGATACATTTGCTGTGGCGTTACAAACCGCAGCTAGATTTGAGTGAAGGTTCTGGCCCGCGTCCACCTGTAGGTAGCTGCAAATACGTGGGCACAAGCGTTTAAGATAGTAAAGACTTGTTTAGCAAAACACAATGTCCAAGGAGATTAGTTGCATCATCTCTCTTTAAAATTCAGGCCATTACTAGATTGTTTGGTACTCTCCTGTTTTATGTATTGTAAATATTTATTCTCTCCGTTATTAATCACTAGGTTGTTGCAGCAGAAGTTATCTTTTCCTTTTTTTCCCTGGGAAACACGGAGTACTTAGTCTGTACTACCACAGACCAATAGTAGTTTTTAAAATCCTGTAAAGCAGGGCTGAAGAATATGTACCTTCGCCCTGTAGCTAGAGAATGGCAGTTGCTTGTTTCCACAAGGGAGCAAAAGCATTGGCCGCAGGTGTAGCTGCTGTGCCCTGATAAACAAAATGCTTTCCTTTTGGCTCACTGAGCTGATGCCGTGAATTTTGAAATACAAGAAGTATCAGGTGCTCCCTGCAGGGTCCAGTGGTGTTGCAGAAACTCAGCGAAGGGCCCGTGCGGAGTAACAGCCAAGTTGTGTCTGCTGTACCGATGGGAGCTGGAGCCAACGCTAACGACTGAAAAAGGAGACTGTTACTTCTAACGGCTTCTTCCTGCCATAAACCAAAAAGATCCAACAAATTATTTTAAAGAACCGATGCCTATACACACACGTCATGGTTTGACAAGACAGAATCAGAGCTTTAAAGCTGCGTACGGCTGTGTGTACGACTGCAGCGTAAAACGGATTTTTTTTTTGTCCCTGATGACAGCAGCCTGTGCTCGAGTCAGCCCATTTGTATCTCCTTGACGATAAGATCATTTCCCAGCTGAGAGGTCAGCCTTCATGAAAAGCTTGGAAAAGGAGTGAAACTTCCCAGAGAGAGACATAAGCTGTTGCACTGATGGAGAGTTTTTGCATTCCTTTTTTCTCGCAGACTAGTTCTCCTACTACCTACACAGCTTTGCATGTATCATCTGCTTTCTTTGCGTTTTAATTTGCCATCACTTTATTATCATTATTTACAGGACCTAGAAATGTCCCTCATGGACCATGAGCCTGTTTTCCTGCCTGCTGCATAAACAGGGACTAAACTGCCCAGAGTTTATCATCTAAATATAGGACAAGAGAAGGGACTTAGCACACAAATGCTTACCTTGTGTTTGTCAGCATCAGGGAAGAGCAGAGTTTTAGGGATTTAAAGAAGATTATAAGAGAGCGTTGCTGCTGTTTGCAGCAGGGGCAGCATGAAGGTCTCATTTGAAAATTTCCCAGGTGAACAATGGAAGCCAGCCCCATGACGGAGAGTCAGCAGAGTACGGTGGTATGTCCTGTCCCTTGTAGGGGTGCTTCACATTAAGCATCAGGAACCATTCAAGCACTGGGGTGATGCTGGTTTTGTAAGACCCTAACAGAGAGACAGGCAGCTGGGCACTGAGACATGACCATGACCCTGTCTCAAATATTGTCTGGTGTCTGCAGGACCTCACTGTAACGGGTGAGAAGCCAGCACCAGTGCTGATGTAATGGTGAAACACTGTGGGGTTTCCACTGTAAGCAGGTTTTAGAACCTAAAATAATGCAAAACTTACAAGTTGTAATTGTCTCACCTCCTGAGGCGAGGGGAAAACCTGCACGAGGAGGATGTGCCCAAGAGGGCCTTGTGCTTTGTTTACATGCCCACCGAGGTCCCCAAGGCATCAGGATGAGGGAAGGTCATTCTCTGCTGGTTGACTCCAGTGAGGAAGGTGAGAAGGGGAAGAAGATGAGCTTTGGGGTGTAGCTGGCAGCGAGGAACACTCGGAAGAGACATACCCCTCCTCCAGGGGTGTCTCCCCCTTTCTCTGTAGTGAAGACAGCCAGGCTCTGCACTGCACCCTGTGGTGTGGTGCCCCAGCTGGCTCAGGGGGCTGGGGCGAGACGGGTCGCCCAGCCCTTTGTGTTCATAACATCCTCTCTCTGCCCTAGCCAAAACCGGCTGCCTCCTACATCCTTGTAGAGCTGAGGGGACCAGGCATATGCTGTGGGTTTGTCTGGTGGCATAGTAACGTGGTGGTTTATTCTCCTGCCAAGGGCACAGCAGTGAGTCACCTGAAAAGAAAAGAAAACGTTGCCTGTGCCTCTGAGTGCTGGACTAAGGCATCCACGTCTAAAATACGGGATTCCCGCTGTACAAAAATTATATTATAATAGTGCTTAAAGTTAATGTGTGTCATAGCTGCACTTCCATTGTTCACAATAGCTATCTATTCTTTGTTGCTAAAAGATCTAGCTAGAGATGACCCAATAGCCCATTTTGTTTCTCTGTATAGAGTTTCTAGACTTGGGAAAAGAAATTCAAGATTTAGGCAAGTATCATTTTACAGAACACTTCAATATCTCACATGTTCTATGTTGGATTAGGATGTTCTGACCC